GTTAGATTAAAATCGAGGCTACAAGTACAAAACCCAATTACACTAGCCTTTTTCTGTCATTGAACAAGCAGTAAACTGGATTTAAGCAGCCGGTATTCTAACCGGTTTTATGAATGCTATTTCAAGTGCATTTATCTCCTAATTTAGTACACTCGCGTGAGCAGCTGTTTATTGACCAATCGTGTAGTCCAGATACAATAGAGATATTCACTGACTTCTTGCCCTTGTTCGTTTGTGGCCCACTAATGAATTGGGAAAAAAAATAGACGATGTTATTATTTCTTCATTAGGAAGGAACAAGGTTAATCAGTAATATTTTTACTGTTTGTTTTATTCTTCTGGACCATTCGTTGAATTAATGGATTGCGTAACCGTCAGTTTATCTGGACCTCGCACGGATTAGATTAAGGGATTAAGTCTTGCCATTATAATAATAATAACAAAAAAAAAGAAAAAGAGAAAGAAAGAAAAACGTTTTGCCTGAAAACAACGAGGTTTGCAAGCAAGATCACGGAAAGCAGTGTTATAATTAATTAAATTACAAAAAATGTTCAATTCAACGGCGTCTTTAGACATGCAGTCGTATATCGCACGGTACAGTCTGTTTATTGCCCTGCTAGTCAGTATATTAAGCTCCAGGTTAAGGTAGAGATACAGGTCACGCAGTTGAAATCTTAATTCTTTTATCTGCATTCACTGTTGATAAAAACCTGAAGAACCGGTAGGAAGTTATATTTAGACGCGAGGGTTGTGAATTAAGGCATGATTTCGTGGCGTAAGTCGAGAATGCCATTCACAAAGGCTACGAACGCATATACCTTATTATAAATTTTATGAACGGTATATCTTTACTAAATACCTGAACATTGTTTATGCTATGTTTTCTTGAAGAGTGAGCATTTCTTCAATGTGTTTCAGCAACACTTCGACCTTGGCCACGAAAGTTTAGCTTGAATTGAAAAGGCAATTTCAAAGGTTTGTTTAATTAAAAACATAAAAGAAACATAATCAGTAAAATGTTTCACAGCCTTGACAAGACACTCGTGCAAAACCTATCAGATTTCAAGTCTATCTGCTTAGAAATATTAAACTGTATTTAGCTCAGTACAATCGACTACTGGACTCTAATTAACTGCTGCACGGATTTGCGGTAAGTCCTTTGCCTTTTTCAATATCTTACCTTTAATTGGGAAAGCAAGAACTCGTCTAAAGCAAATGATGTGACTTAAAAGGTATGGAAATGACAAAGTGACACTATTTCTTTTGACATAAAATGCACATACCTGTTCAATGTCATACCATGTGCGTTAGTCAGACTTCTGCAAAGATTTCTGTCAGCGGGAACGACAAAGTGCGCAGTTTTCGATCGACGCTGTTGAACACGAGACATTCTAAGAGAGCTTACGCGTCACCCTTAAGTCAAGTATTGAAATTCAGCGATACAACTTTTAAAACCGACGGCAAAATGATGCCGTCAAGGCGATGTGAAAATGGGTATCCAAGCGCAATGTACTGAGTTTACGTCACAACCTCCTGGCTCAGCTAAAGCACGCAATCAAAGTTCACTTTTCAACTACATTAGCTGTTGTAAACATACCGATCTATATGCTCATCTACCTTCCTCTTTAATTTAAATTGTTCCTTGATCTCCCGTGACCGGTCCACAATCGTTGAAAGATGATCTAAACGGTCAGCCTAAAGCAGGAAACTTCTCGATAGAATTTACACCAGCGCACAGTCTATTTTTTTCTAGAATAAGGCTCTCTAAGAGTAAACATCAGGCATTTATTTTACAGCATTATCATGATCATCAGCATTATCTCTTCAACGCAGAAAATCATCACCCGCCTCATCCCGGCTGGGAATTTAGAGTCCTCTCTCTACTTTAAGAATTACTTATAGATTATATCGTTCCCCTCCTTAAAAATAGCAGCAGTTGTCCCGAGACAAATTCATGGATTGATCAAAAAAAACGTGTATAGACGTCAACAGCTATTTCAGCTGACTACCAGTCCTCTCCAGGCTTACTGGAATTAATTTTGATTTGTCACGGTAGAAGACTTGTTGAACTCCAGCCGAAAAATTACAACTTTGCAATAGATCCGATTAAGGGTAAGAGACTTAAACTCCCATGTAGGTCTCATTCTCAAGGAAATCCCTCTTATGTTCAGATAAAACATACAGTTCTTCGTAACTAGCGGTGTACCATTATGCGCGGGAGATGTTTTTTGAAGGATGAAATGGTAATGTCGCTTGGGATATAGACTTGACTGCAATTCTCAGGATTGGCCGATCTCTCTAGACCCTCCTGAGATTACCAGAGCCTGGAATGACCTGGAAATAACTTGAGAGGGATTGCATGGGGATTTACTCTCTTTATCTTGGACGAAGCAGCTATTGGGCAATCGTTTTTGCTATAGAAGATTTTGTCTGTTAATAATATTTGAAACTTCTATAGCCCAAATCGCATTTAATGATCAAATTCGTGTTACATCCACGGTCTTTTTCTTGTCCTTAAAACGTTTTTAGGGGCCGAGTAATTAAAACTGGAACTTGAACCTTTGACCTCCGGACGCACTAGTGCTAATCGTGCTCTAATCAGTCGCAGTTAAAAGCAAAGAAAATGAAAGATTGCTTTACTTTCGCACGTCAGTTTCAAATGATACAGGAGTGGCAATAGGCTCAAACGCACTTTCATTCCTCGATCCGTCGTCCGCTGTCCGTTCCACTCTAATTTTCCAGAATCCCACGTTGGACAAGTGATCGACGGATATGTGAGTACGCTAGTAGTAAGGAATAAAAAGTTAAATATTTTCATTACAAGCTAATGCACAAAACACAAGTGGCTCAAGATTAAAGAATGTAAACAAAAAAATGGCTCAGACAATGTTGGCTTTAGCTTGGTCTCGTTTGTCAGTGTTCATGACAAACAAATTATTAATATAAATGACATAGGACGATGGAAAAAATGGAGATTAGGCGAAGGTGAAGGTTATTGGGAGGTGGCAAATTTTCCGTTCGATCTCAAAGGTGCATTAAAAAAAAAAAAAGCACTCGCGTGCGAAAGAGTTGAAATAGCGTCGGAGTTTTTATGAAGAACTAGTAAAAGCGGTTTTCTTTGATCGAAAATTCGATTTCCATGCATAAATGGCCATCATTAAACGGCAGCTGCTAATTTAAATTAGCAAATTTAGTTGAAATAATGTTGAATGACATGCTAATTACGGTATACTCGAGACTTGTAATGCATCGGGCGCTAAAGGCCGCTCAAGACAACCACGAAAGCTCTGAAGTGGCCTAAACGTAACTGATATTCTAATTTAACCTGTCGAAATTGTTCATGCCTGAGTGTAATATTTCACTAGTTGTCTTGTATTATCAACTAGAATGTATTATTTATGCAAAAAATGGAAAATGTATCTACTTGAGCTAACTTGCAAAGTTTATCAGTTCTGACGTCACATGTTAACGACAAAAATTTACGTAACCTCTCAAGCGAGAATACAATAAGCAAAGCATAAATACCATGTCTTTTATCGCTTCGTTTAAATTAAACAACACTTTTTGTTCGCTGCGATCGCTAACGAACTCTTGTGCACGACTGTTAAACGGCTCGGCTAAACCGATCCGTTTCAGCTTTGGCGTAAACGCCGGAACTGATAACAAAACGAATCCATTTGCCTGACTGACAAGGACCATCGTGAAAACGGTTTGTTTTAAATTGATTAAAAACAAATCCATTTTCTAATTCAAGGCGGCGTTGGCTGATCGTTGTTATTGTTTTTGTTTGCAGCGAGATGAGGCGCACATAGGACATTATGTACGGCATGCTTCTGGAGAGCGTCGAACATTTCCTCAAAGAGAAATACGGCGAAAAAACCTGGAATTTGATTCGCTCTCGTGCGGGAGTTAAAAACCACGTATTTGTCACACACGAACGATATCCTGACCATCTCATTCTAGATATCGCTTCTGCTGCTGCGGAGGTAATTGGGAAACAAACTAAAATGACCCCAGATGATTTCATTGAATTCTTTGGTGCTTGCTTCGTGAAATTTTTCAGCAACTACGGCTACGATAGGATCATAAAAGTGAGTGGAAGATACTTCAGAGATTTTCTGGATGGAATCGATAACTTACACGAACATATGCGATTCGCTTATCCAAAGCTTATGTCACCGACATTTTTTTGTTCGGAAGAAACAAGCACAGGATTGTTATTACAGTACAAATCCAAACGACGGGGATTTCTGCGCTACGTTATGGGGCAAATCCTGGAAGTTGCGAGAACGTTTTACGGCATCACAGTGGAAATGAAGGTTCTTAGAAATAATTCAACTGAAACCGGTTGTCATGTTGTTTACCAACTCAGTTTCAACAACTCTGCATTTAAACCGCCTTCTCCGGATGCCATGTCTGTTCATCAAAATCGCGATTTAACTTGTGAAGCTTTCTTCCGTATCATGCCTTTCAGCTTCGTCGTGACACCAAACATGAAAATTCTCATGACCGGGGAGGCTTTATCGTCAACGCTGGGCAACGTTTTAATCGGGAACCGCGTGGATTCAGTGTTTACGCTGAGGCGACCACGGCGCGAATTTTCGTGGGAAAACGTGAGTGGATAAATTTGTAAACGCAATACTAGATCGCATAATCCTAGCTATAATTGAATTGTTTTCGGCATCGACCAGTTTGCATGACAGCAAGCGTTGCCAAGGGCTATGTTTTGCTCCCGCAAACATGAACGACCCACTTATCTGTTTGATCGACTCATCATCAACTCATCATCAACTCATCATCAACCCATCAACTCGTCAATTTCCAACATTCAGTCAAACTTTTTTTGTTTCCTTTTGCATCGAAATATATTTTTTTGTGCTGACGTTTCATGTTAAAACACTAGCTAACAGAGTTATATATTGGTACTCAAAAAAAGGTGTCATTTTAATTTAAATGGAAATTTTACCTGATTGGAATTATGGAATCTAATTTTGCACCAGGCTGAGACTTATCCGATTTACAATAAACATGAACTATTCTGTAGGTATATACTGCATGCACTTTATTGAAGGTGATCAAAGCAAACATGAAAAGCATCGCAGGTGAAATTTTCATTACACCTTTTACTACCGTGAAATTTGTCTTCTTCAATTTTAAAGGATTGTTTGGTTTTCTTTCTAATCTCACTTAAGCTGTTGTTTTGTCAATTTGTTTTGTTTTGTTTTTATTGTGTATTTTGGTTTTTGTCTTCTGGAAAACAAATAATGAAAATGGTCAGTGTGAAACGCACACTGCGGACTGCAGACTGCACTGACTGCAAATCGGGGTAAAATGCAGACTGAGGGTAAAATGCAAAATGCAGACTACAGATTTTTTAAGTAAATATGGTGTTATTTCCCTTATCGAGTGCTAACCGTAAACAGGGTTATTCAGGCTAACCGTGGTGAAAATCTACCCACCGGTTAGCCTGAATATCACTCAGGTTAGCCTGAATAACCCTCCGGTTAGCCTGAATATCACTCAGGTTAACCTGAATAACCCTCCGGTTAGACTGTTTACGCGGTTAGCTCTCAATGATGAAAATGGTAACATGATTCAGTTAAAAAGTTTGTAGTCTGCATTTTACCCCTGGTCTGCAGTCTGCATTTTACCCTGGTCTCAGTCTTCGTTTTACCCCCGGACCGTAGTCAGCGTTCTTCAGTCACCGACTGAATCATTCAGAATGAAAGCAGTATTATGGGGATGGAAACTACAGTGTAGACGCGAAATAAGTTTTCATGAAGGGAAATATAATTTTCCGTAAAATTTTGATACCGAGTTTTTGGTGTCAGCATGGTTTAGGAAATAGCCTCTGACTTAATGCTTTAGGCGCCATTTTTTTGCTCGAATTTGGTAGAAGAAAACTACGTACACTTTCTTATTAATCTAGTTCTGAGTGTATTTCTATTTTCCCATTTAGATTAAATCATGGAATGTAATCTGCGAGCTGGTTGCTAAGCTACCCTGTGTGAAGAACCACTGTCTTAAAAAGCCGCTCCTAAGGTCTGTGAAATCAGTTGGTAAATTAGATCTTATTAAGCCAAACGAAGCTAATCATAAAATGGAGCTGCGAACAATTCTAGAGGAAAATGGGCGGCAAATAAGCCTTACGGGCCACCGGAAGTCGAGACGACATAGCGACGTAGTTGAAAGAAATGGTGCTTTGGTGACTAGATTGAGTGGTCATGATTACTCAGCAAAAGTCATGAAACCTCTTCATCTGAAAGGCCAGATGAAGTACCTGAAGAGATACGACATGGTGTTGTTCGTCTGCTCACCCATGTAAGTAGTGTAATTAATTAAATTGCCGCTCGCTCTCCCCTGTAGGGCCGGGTCGGGTGTCTTACAACTGAATTAACGGGACATTGATAAGGCGAATTGAAAAGGTATACAGACATATGATTTACTGTGTGCTTCTGGCATTTACAGGGAAAAATATAATATCCTTGGCACTTATGATTCCTTTTCACGCGGTTTAGTTCTTTACATACTTCAGTGAGAGAGAGATTTTATTGATCGTCGTATTGCGTGCAAATGACGTAATACTGGGTCTGTTGTGATTTTTTAATGGTGCCTAATATTTCTACAACCTGAAAGAAACTCCTGCTTCAAAGTCAAGTGTTTTAAGTTACCTGCCAGTCTGTTCTTGACGTTGCTCAACAAACAGTCTACAACGAATGAATCTTTGAGATGCATGTATTCTATGGGCTAAATTTCTCACTAAATCTTCATGCAACACAATCAACCAATCAATCGATTTGATTGATTATTGATTGATTATTCGATTAATCGGTCGGTCGGAAAGAAAAATCAAACAATCAATCGACTTTATTTATGCGCGGTAAAATTTAAAGCTGTAATAGCTCGGGGAGATTTTGTGTAACTAAAGGTTAAAAAAGGTAAATAGTGAGGAGTGTTCAATAATAATAACAATAATAATTACTAATTATTATTTCGAATTACAAATTTCCATAATGTGTTAAAAGCTAAAATATTTACTGCCAAAATTACTTTAAAATATTAATTGTAATTTTGAAAAATTGTTTTACACAATGGAGCCTCAATAAGCTCTTCATAATTATTGACCATAATCAAATGCCTTTATGTGGCATCATAGTTTTTCGAGAGAAATAGTTATGAAGCCCGGCAAACATCAAAGAAGCAGACAAAGATGCCAAGATTTATGCTGGATTGCGCTCATACACTATGCATGAATTACGTGGCCAAAACGTTTCTATTGGTTAGTTCCTCAGTGCGGAGTAAACCACTATTGTGTTTTGTGCGCGGTCAAGGCCAAAAAAGCGAACAAAAACTTACAACAAAGAAATTTGTCGGGTTTCAAACTATTCCCCTCTATTAACTATGGTGGCACCATTTCTTTATTTCTGATTTTGTGCTTGTTTTCAGCCTCGACTATTTATTCATTAATTCATGTTTTCAGGATAAGCAGTGTAGAGGAAATGGCTCGCACTGGAATGTACATGAGCGACCTTGGAATGTATGACTCTTCACAAGAGATGGTTCTTTCTGGAATCCAACCTCTCCCGGAACTTGAGTATGCTCGTGATCAGGTATAGATTCAAAGCAAAAATATTTAGATTTAGTTAAGCCTAAAAGCAGAGTTCCTGGGCCGGGCTGTTTAAGCCTGATTAAGGTAATGCAGAATAATCGACAGAACTGCACATTTATGAGGTATGAACCTATTTTTTTTTTTTTTTTTTTTTTTTAATCTCACAGCTTTTAGATCGAGGAAAAACTCTGGAGGAAAATTTAGAAAAACTTGACCAAGAGAGGCGGAGGAGTGAGGAGCTGTTATATCGTATGATGCCCAAAGCTGTAGCTGATGAACTAAGAGATGGAAGGAAAGCTGTTGAAACATGCGAGGTACTGTGAAGGAGGTTTAACTTATTTACTTTCTGTACTTTTGTTTGCTTCGTCAATGATTTACGTCGGCATTAGTTGTTGCTGTCTACTTTCAGTTAGCTTTCGTGTGACTTAACGATTAGCGGACAGTTACACTCTAAAGTGCTGCCCTTTTAAGCCCTGGCCAAGTGGACTCACAAGTAGATCCAAGTTGAAGGCCTTACGGGCACTTGCGTTGACTTTCGATAACTTGCGCTCACTTTGGTCGAGATCAAATTTGTACGCAAGTCAACGCAAGTTTTTCATCATTTGGCCACCCAACCCAAATCAACGCAAGTTGAGTGACGTCCATTAATCTATTATTAGCCAATGAAATACAGGATACGTGTGCCTCCAAATGGTGTTTTTTTGCGACTTGAATGTACTTGCAAGAAAACTTGCGAGTCCGTTTGGCCACCCTACGCAAGTTTCTAGGCAAGGCCAACTTGCGGCTACTTACGACTACTTCGGAGTCCGTTTGGCCAGGGCTTTAGTGCTGGCGATGACCTGAAGCAAAAACATATATGCAAGAAGACACCTCTACGTATGCCGTCAAAACTACTGTTTAAGCCTGGGTTTTACTACGACCTAACCACAAGCACAAGCATGATGCATACCGGTTGTGAGGACGCCCACAACACGAGCGTAAGCACGTTGGAAAGCGCAGAATAGATAAATACCTTATTTTCGGTTCCATACCTCCGCGAAACAGTAAAGCAAGATGTCGGACGATGTTTGTGCTTATGCTTATGTTTACTCACACAAGAGCAGGCCTCAAACTGACAAAATGGTGAATCACTAAGGTTTTAGAAATGCAAACCGTGCGCTTTGTGAGATGCTTTTTACGGGTACGCACGATTGAGCGATCTTCTGTCTTCAGTGGAGAATGAGAAAGAAAAACCCGTCCAGCATCGACAAAAATATCCATGCGTAAATAACATGACTAGTAAAACAAGTCATTTGCTGAGCAAATTTAGTGATTTCCAACAAAAAAAACAAATACCATTTGAATCTGTAGTCGTTCGCTGTAAGCTCGCTGTGAGAATCATTTTACCCCGCAGTGATCATCAATCATTCAGCGGTTTATTGGTAGCTGTAATGAACTTTTTATCACGAATAATTAATCACCTGCACGTTGGCAAAGTGGAAAGGTTTCAGGCGGGTAGTCTGAAGTTGGCGGGTTGAGGTCGGCGGTTTGTATCTTGGTGTGGGACTTTTGTGTGTTTCTTTTCCCCCGAGCTACTAACTGATGGTTTGCGTTTATGTGGGTATTGGAAAATAGAAATGTTCAAACCATAAGAGTGAAGTGATGTAATAATAAAAGAAAATAAGACGGTATGGAAGTAAAACACTTCTCGAACGAAAAATTGTCGCACATGATTTTTGGTAAAGTTTGGTTTAAACCCGCCGTTAAAGCGGTCGACGGATCGAAACACACCTTTGCTGTATACCAAATAGTCTTTAATTTGGGAGCGCTTGTTCGACTCCAAACACGACAGGTCAGTTCATCGCTTTGGCCAACCATTTTGTTTACAATGGTCAGGAAAATTTTGCCCCTCTGACGAAATGTCCTGGTCAGCGGAATTACCACCAAAAAATCTATTGACCGCTGACCGAGCCAGTGAATTATTTCTTTCCAACAATAACTGCTGTAACTCTCTCTAGCCATGCTACCACTCGTTAAAAAGGAGAAAAGAAAAAAACAGAAAAGATACCCGCTGTATGATTATAGTTTACGACAAGCCTACATAATAAAAATAAATGAATATAAATGAATAAATAAATGAATAAGTAAGTAAATAAATAAACAACTTTCCCCTAGCATCAAAGTTACTTGTTGTAAAGGTTGAATGATAGCGGGGATACTCTACCATGGCAACCATTTGCGACGTCACATGTATCATGCCGTGATGTACCAAAGCCTGGAAGGTCTGAAGTATTGCAGGTCATCATCTAGTACGAAGTGTGCCATTTTCAGCTTTCATTCATTTTTGCTTTGATTTTAGCATTTTGAGAGTGTAACCATTATGTTTAGCTACTTGGATGGTTTTGATCATATCTGCGCCAATGTAACCCCGATGGAAGTCGTTAACCTGGTCAACAAGATGTTTTTAACTTTTGACAAACTGAGTGAGAAGCACGATGTTTACAAGGTAGGTAGTTTAACAGAGAAAATAAAGCGCTATGTTACGATAGTTATATGAGCTTTGAGTCAGTGTTTAGAGACAGCGTTAAGCTGTATTCTTGACTTTGCTCTTGAAACATCCATCAATAACAGACTCTTTTGTACTACTTACACTGTCTGCAGTCTCCTTCAAAGTATAAATATAGGGCACTGGCAATCAAAGTTACAACATTACGATGGCTACAGTTTTCGCTTTTTTTTCTGACTGGATCTGTATACATAAAAACCATCTTCAACACAACTTCGTGTAACTAGCAGGACACTTTTCGGAAAAGGACCACAAAGCTTAAGAAATCATCCATGTGAATGTTTGGTAAAGACAGCCATCTTCCATGTATGTAACGATACTTCAGTTACATTTAAACTGAAGGAAATGCTGGACGTATGCATTACGTTTCAAGACGTGAACTGGTATTGCGCTGCTAAAGAATAAAACACTCACAGAAATGCACTTAGACATTTCTCTTTGAATAGTTAAAAATCAGACAACTGTACAGCTAAGTTGTTGTTGTTTTTTTTTTCTTTTTAAAGGAAAACTTTTATAACCAAATTTTCACAATCACTATCAAATATTGATGACATTATATTGTGCTTAGTTTGAGACCCTTGGCGATGCTCAATATATGGTGGTCAATGGTGTTCCGGTCAGGAAGGACCGACACGTGGAGCCCGTAGCTGCAATGGCTCTAGATATTCTAGAATCTGTAAAGGAACTTAAAGATCCCACTTCCGAGACACCACTAACTGTTACAATAGGTAAGCGAGTATTTATTCAAGTTTACCATACGCAGGGACTTGATTGAGGGAATCAACGAATTTGAAAAGGGTTGGCCCCTTGGGTGTGATTTCTTGGGGGATCTTGTGAAGAAATAGAAGGAACGTTGACTTAGAGATCACCTTAAAAAAGGTTCAACATACTTGTTTAACAGTGTGGCCCTGTTGAAGAGGAATCTTTAAATGTAGAAAATGACTTGTCCCCGGCGTTGGGCAAAATAAAGGCTGTAATGACGAGGTTCTTCCGTAATTCAAAATTCAGTCAAAAACACATGCTACCAGTTTGCCTAAGTCAGATACTAACAACGAACATTCGTTTTTGTCATTTCTAACAACATGGGTTAAAGTTTGTTGAGACACCAAGAGTCTGTGTCCCTGGGGCTGCGAGTAACTTTACATCTTAGTTTTACTGTTGTATGTGCCACTTTTGATCAAAGTAGTTTGCCCAATGTCAATCAAAGCGTCTGTCAGTTTCCCTGAGTAAAAGTCTGATCCTTAATTGGATTTTTTTTTTTGTGGTAGGAATGCACTTGGGTCCAGTAGCGGCGGGTCTTGTGGGAGAGAAAATGCCACAATATTGCTTGTTTGGTGATAGTGTAAACATTGCGGCGAGACTCAGAACTACCTCTTTGGTAGGTGCCATTAGCTCATTAGCTATTCAATTACATGTGAATTTTTTTTAAGCACTGAAGACTACTTCATTAAAAACCTAAGTGTTTTACATTTACCACGTCCGTTACTTGACCGTTATCAGTTAGCTAAAAAAGAACTTATTGATCACCATACTTGAGAGTAGCGCAGCAAGCATTCATCAACACCTGTGGGACCGTTAGATAAACCAGCATTTTTTTCATATACACTTAGAAGCCAGCCAACACACTTGGTGGTCTTTCAACTAGGAAACAATACGACGGAAACACTCGTGTTATCAAAATTGTAATGATGCCAACTTGACGCCTTTACCTACATCTACTAGGAGTATTAGTTTTTACAATATTTGGATTAACCCTGTACCCAGGAGGAGTCAGTTTGGATTAATTTAATTTAGTTTATAAAGCTCTGAAGTTTGATTTTTCAACAGCCCATGAGGATTCATATAAGCGAAAGCTGTAACGAATGTTTGAGAGGGACAGATTTCGAGACAGAATTTCGTGGATTAATAGAACTCAAGGTATTATAGAATGAATTGATAGTACCTTATTTTGAAAAGAAACACTGCACAAGAGCTATATAATATAGGAACTTAATAGAAGATGTTGTTGAATAATAGTTATCTACAGAAACAGTTTTTAGAAAGGCTCCTGGACAGTTTTCTATAATACGTGTTTTCTTTTACACATTGCGCCAAATAAATCTATGTTACTATCTACAAGGTCTGTCTAACTCGCTCCAATCTAAGGTATCTTTATTATAATTATTGTTGCTGTTTTTTTTTTGTTTTTTTTACAAAAATTAACTGACTTCGCAGTCTGGTAAAGTGGGAATAGCGTTCGACGGAGATGAACTTGCTGATAAGTTTTGAAATGAAAGACTTTATTTAAGTGTCGATGGTATTAACCTTGAAAAAAACTAATTGGGGACACTATTTAAATATTAAAATATACCTTAGCTACATAAAATTAAAACTATTTACAATTTAATTCGAAACAAAAACCCTTCATAAATGAATAAAATATACCTTTCTGCAATATGTATTGCAGAAAAGGAGAGCTATTTCCAAAAACTAATAGAAATAGCCAAGAGATCCACCACAAATATAAATCTTTCTCAGTAGGAAACCATCGCAGAAATTCTTAACTGGGTTACGTAGTATGTGGTATAATGATAAATTTTTAATAAATATGTAATCATAATTGATTTACAAGAACTATGGCTGGTTGTTTCTTAATTTACAAAGTGATTTGCATCTTTAGGGCAAGGGGAGCACAAGGACCTACTGGCTGGTGGGAAAGAAAGAAAAATCTCAAAGCCAATCATTGGACTTCAAGGAAATTACCTCCAGCTGACATCTGGAAAAATTGAACTTTAGTTACGGGATTAAGTAGTAATGTCTTTATCTTATGTAATTGAGGATCATAGATTTCCTCTTGTCTTTAATTATCTCTGCAAATGTGATCCCTATCACAATAATGCCAGCTAGCTTAGCATTTGGGTTAAAGTTGTTGACTTTGATGGGTTGCGATTTAATTTATATTCATTTCAAACTTGTGTTAGCAAACTGCCTTTCACCACGACGAAGATCGCTTTCACTGTACTTTTATTTTTCCGCATTTTTAACACTTGAATTTTTTCCCTTCCCTATGAGTCATGAAGATACATGAAACCGGCATACTAAAATAATCTTATCGTCAGCGGATAGATCCTCGACAGAAACACTCTATTGTTTAAATAGATAGTGAGTAGCGTAGCCAATCAGAGAACGCCATTCGTGATAGAACGCTAGTACACTTATACTAACAATAATTATAGATAGTTTTTTTTGCTTAATGCATACGTACATTCCTAACTCAAATCCACGCCGTTCATATTTATTACATTGCTAAAAGACGCCCAGGGAAAGGGAAAGAAAAGGTTGTAAGTATATTCTTACTGAAAATTTAGAGTCAATTGAAATGTAAATAAAGTTTGCAATGGGGTGAATGTCACTTGTAACAAGATGTTTGATTTTTTTTTTAGTAAGTAACAAATAAAGAATATTTGTTGATGTAAAGTTGCTTAGCGAATCAACCTTAGCATACCTTAGACCCAGACGTTAGATTCTCAGAGAATAACTGAGGTGTTTTCATTTGCATGCTTGTAAAATCGAAGATCTAAATAACGAATCGCAGGTTGCAAGGTTTTTCGATGGAAGATAACGAAAAACCTAAACAATAAGTATAGCATAAACGCACAATTACACTTCATTTCGTTATATCGTATTCTTAGATTTGGAAACCGTTTTATTTTCCCTGATTAGGTCGATGGAAATACTTCAAGTTAATTAAACCAGTGACACATACAAATTGTCTCCATGGCCGCACTCCCGAGCTTTACATGAGTACCTGTTTGGTGCGTGTGGCCTCGAAGCTTGTGGATGCGCAAAGACGGTCCCATGTCTATATGTATGTTGGGTAATTAAAGTAAAGCAATAATATTTTAAGAGGTGAAACCACTCAACGCAGAAACTGCAGGGAGCCACATCTTTGGTTTAAAGCACCCATGAGTATTGCCAGAGTAACTGTGGTTTAATGCACACATGAGCACTACCAAAATAACTGTACAGTGAAGTGGGAGACACTTTTTCAACGAAAATACGTAACGCGGTGTAGTTAAACGTTGTGCTTCAAAATGATACTCGTCTTTTCAATTAATCAAGGAGTGTTTATTTCTGGTGATGTCGGAAATCGTACTAACTCTGACTTGTTGCGCCAAAGTTCGGTCCCTATTGAGCTGGAGGATTTGAAATTGGGGATTCAGGAGTTCACTTTGCAGTTTTAAAGCGAACCTTACATTTCCGAGTGATTAATAGCCTTACAATCGTTTTCAGTGTTACGTGCATAGCGACCATCTTTCGACAAGTCATCTTCTCGACGTGCCATGCAATCTGGCCTACGTCGAAAATGTAAGCTTAACAGAGTTCTCTACGGCCGAATTCAAATGTTAGTGATGAAAGATGGACTTATTTTACTTAAAACTTCGGTTGAGGGTGTCAAGAAGTCCATCCGATCAGTGAGCGATAAATCAAGTCGACTTTTTTAAATGTTTCCAAGTTGCGAGTAAAGCGGTCTTACATGACATGTCGAAAGATGGCCGGTATTCTCTGCTATGCACGTAGCGCTGAATACGGGTGTAAAGGGGATGCGTGCTTTAATGTTTTAGATCTGCCCTTTTATCATTTTAGCGGTAGGGACTGAAATTCCTTTTGTTATAGAATCTTGATTCCGCCGAGTGTAGAATGAAGGTGGCAAGTTTTCGGTAGTATCTCAATATGTATACCATAACTCCGCTGCCACTACTACCACCCACGAGAGGAATAAAAGGGATCCAGGCATCCGATAAGATACTTGTTTATTTTGTATAACTGCAGATAACATATAAGTAGGTTGTCATCAAATGGCTTTATGTTGCACACAGTTGAAGAATCTTGTTTTACAATAATTTTCTCTGCCTCGACCGGTTAGCCAAAACTCATTGTTTCACTAAAATTAACGTTCAAAGCTTTGCTAATTTCTATCTTCCCTTCACGGTTGAGCTATCAGTTTTAAGGTGGAAAAACATGTCAAAAATCGACTCAAAAAACCAATTGTAGAGAGCTAAAAAAGACTAAACCCCACCATAGTAACAAAAGTTTCAAAGGGTAGCTTAACGATAACATTGTTGGGCAACAAAACAACCAGCGAAAGCAGTGACAATGTCAACACTACAGCGTAGCTATGCATCCAGACTGGGAGCATGAGGTCACTTCACATCCTTGCTTGTATGTGCATGCTCTCTGGATCATTAAAAACATCTTTTCATTTATACATTTCCTCGTAAATATGTCCTCGGTATCAATAGTACCATTAAAGCGCAGCACCATACAACGGGTAGCTGTGGGGCATTTGGTCATTGTCATCTTGTGGTTGCATTCCCTGGGGGATTTACAGATGGGACAGGTGGGACACTGAAAAGGATTCTCCGTGGGGACGTTCTTGCGCGATACTTTAGCTATGCAGCCTGATTGGCTACAAGCTGTCACGTGATACTTTCGCTTTCTATTGCAGTACCACTCAGTGGAGCTGATGTTCTTGCAGTTTTTGGTCATCAGTTCAAGCATCTTTCTGTTTACGCATTTCCGAGCAAAAACGTTTTGGTCCCACAATGCTATGCAAAAGTCCGCTTTTGGGCATGTCGTGTTGGCCAAAGTGACCTCGCATGACTCTTGTGAAGTACTCTGACATGTAGGACACCAGAAATCGTTTTTCGTTGGTTTTTCTACCTCTGGCTGTCCTCTTGGAAATTCGCTCACCTTGGCTTTGCATCCTGGTTGGTTGCATAAGGACAAGCGGTATCTTTTCTTCCCTCGTTTGCAATCCCATTCCATGTAGCCCACACTTTTGCAATCTTCAGTCAACAGTTTACGCATCTGTCTGTTGATGCATTTACGCGTAAAAACGTTTTTATTCCACAGCGTCATGCAGAAATCAGCTTTAGGGCACGTTGTGTTGGCCAAGTTAGTATCGCACGATTCCTGGGAAGTCGTTTCACAAGTTGGGCACCAGAAATCATCTCCGACTGCTTTGCCTAGACACAAAATAGTAATGTTTAGTAAAACCTAGAGTTCTTAGTTACGGTTTTAACATACCCGGTACAATAGAAATAGAATTGACCATAATAGTCAAGTTTAAAGTGTCTGTGTCGGCGTAACAGAGGTTACCACTGAATACAAGTAGTTTTACAGTAAAAAAAAAATGTCATTCTTGATGTGACTTCAGAAACTCGTTTTAAGTTCAATATATAAGGGAAGTGATATGCACCTTGCACTCGATGGTTTGGTCGAGCCCACTCCTCCTCTTTTATCGCTGTTCTGCGAGCGTCTGACAACACCACCGTTCCGTAAACAAGGCAGAACATTCTCAAATACAAGGATGCCATTTGTTTTTTTTTTTTGAATCTGCAATCTGAAGAAACAATATTTCCGTTAACACAGGGGAAATTACATTATCCAGTAAGCATATGTCATCGGAATGTGCTACATAATGCATAAGTCACTTACACCCGCTTTGTGTGACGTGGATAGGCGACATCTTTAGACCATCTTTCGATGGTACTTAGCATAATAGTCTTCCAGTTGAAATAATGGCATTTAACTATTTGTTTTCTAGATAATATAAATCAATAGAGAAGGAGCGCGTTTCCTGACATGTTAGAAAACTGGAACCACCGTAAAACTCAGTAAAGTAGCGCATTTCGCATCTAAAAACATGTTTGGCATTATGACATTGTTTGACATTATGATATTGTTGTAAATAACTCTCATGTATCAGACAGTTCTTCAGGCTATTTTCTACTTGAGTTACACGGCAGAAAGGTCGGCCATGAAGGCATACTGACATCACGTTCCTCGAATTTCGAGTTTCAAAACTATTGAAAATTTTCACTCTGAAGGTACATGGTAACCTCAATTCCAAAAATATTCGAGTTTCAATACAAAGACCAGATTACATAAAAGATCAAGAACTAAAATATGTCCTTTCCACGCTCCTTTCTTTCTTTTATGATCAATATGCCTTCAGTTTACATGATGGTTGAGCCCTTTTAATCGTGCTTTTAAACGTGAAATTAAATTGAATTTTATTAGCCTTTATTGAATATATTTTGATATTATTTATACCACCTGCATGTCTGTTTATCATGTTTTGGGTGGATTTAAGTATAGTCTGACCTATAAAATATCGTTATCATGTGCATGTTGATAACGGCCACCCGACTGTTTAGCTTCTTATAGTTACTCTGATTGCCCTGTTATCGACTCCCTGAGTAGAAATATTTGTTGTAAATGATATTCGAGGTGCAAGTTTATTGCTGTTATAGTTTATTTTATTGATACAAACATAATACAATATTGCAACAAATCAAAAAAGTGGTGCAAAGAAAGAGAGACGTTACAACTGATAATATTCATAATGATAGATAGTAGATAATGTTTACGATAATAAATATTAGAAAAGTCCAAAGAAAATACTTGCGCTGATTGGTTAAAAATCGTGTTTCTATAACTCAATGGAAACACAGAATTAGCACGAGCTGTTGACGTAATGATGGGGCGAGCAAAGAAAATTTACATTTTGATAATCAAAGTTAACAGGTTTTTTTCCTTTTTTTGGCGCGTCATTTTCTAAAAGAAATAGAAAACATGTTCTCCGTGTTTCTATCGAGTTGTAGAAACACTCGTGAAAGTTTGGGAGTTTGCCTGCGGCTCGTGTTCCCACAGCATTTCTTGTTCGACCAAACTTCCACTCGTGTTTCTATAACTCGATAGAAACCCGGTACATGTTTTCTATTTCTTAATTACAAACAGTACGTCTCTCTAGTTTTGTACAAGTGTATAAAGATGGGGAGAAGGGCTACATAGTCACGTCAAGTCATTTCTCTATTTCATACTGGATGATAAATTTGGATATGAATTCAGAAGTATCTTGTTTCTTTTGCGTTGTTTTGCAAGCATAACGGTACTGCTTTGCATATAACAGAAGAAGACGCAAATCTTTTGTCCGTTTATCAGAAAGATTGGTGTTTGGTGTTGGTAAATTGAGAAAGCATCGTAGTGACGTTAGGCTGACATTAATTTGGTGTAAACTATTGAACCTTTGAAGAGAGATTGACAATCAAAGAATACATGTTCAATGGAGTCATTTTCACTGCACATAACACATTTGACACAGTCAGTTATTCCAAATCGTTTAAGTTCTTCATTAGTGACGAGTATTCTGTGCAACAACTTGAAATAGAATTGTCTTAACCTATTATCCGCGAGTGATTTTATAATTGTTTTGGATGCAGTTCACCCAACTGTCAGCAGCTTCAGGACAATTTTTCCGCCATGATTTAATTGCCGTAGGTTCTGTTTTGATTCCCTCGACAAAAAGTTTATAAAACTGCTTACAGAAAGTTTTCTTTAAATTGAGAGTGATATCTTTAGATAGTTGGAAATTTATATTTTCAGCAGGTCTTGCGCAAAAAGAACATTTCTATCCCGCCAGGCCTTCCAAAAGACCGAATCGTTTTTATATTTATATCTCTGTTGTTCCACAACTGAAATGAATTCGCGTTTCAATGGATCTTCGTAATTGCTACGCAGTTAATGTTCTTGAAAGTACTCAAGGAGTTCTCGATAAAAGACGGGGATTAGTTTCTCGACACTGCAGTTACAGGTTTGAAGAAAAAGGAGTCCGCCATGTTTATCGAAGTGTAAGTAATTCGGAAATGCCGTCCAGGTGTCATGAGTGTTATTTAAGAGTCTACTTATCCAACTGAGACGTAGCGCTTTTACAACAGTTCTGAAGCAGGAAAAGCTTAGCCCACCCTTAGATAAGGGACGGAACAGAACCTGTCACTCGATCTTATTTCTCTTATTCTTCCATAGGAAAGCAAACAGTTTACTTTAGGTTTGTTGTATTGTTGTTTCTGGAACAGGAAGCACGGAGGCAGTATAGATTAGCTGAGACAAACCTTGAGATTTTGCTAGCATAGTTCTTCCAAAGAGCGTCAGGTCCCGCCACCGCCATATCTTAAGCTTCGTTTCCATTTTCCTTAGTTTGAAATAAAAGTTATTGTTGTTGTTGGCAGCTGCATCATGGGAAAGGTAAGTTCCAAGGAATTTTATGGGATCTTTTGGACACTGAAATTTTAAAGGCTCTATCTTATTTTTGCTCGGAGTACCAATCCACGTGGCTTTTGTTTGTTTGTTTGTTTGTTTGTTTTTTATATATTCAATTGCAAACCGGACAATACTCCAAATGAATTAACTATATATCCGCAAACTGTGAGATCTTAGCGTTCTGTCCACCTGGGTGTTCGATGCCCCGGCAGAGTTGGCTTTGGCGTATTTTGAGGGCTAGAATGTCAACCGTTAACACAAACAAAGGAGGACTCAGAGCACACGCTTGACGAACACCTCGAGGGACTTTGAAGTAATTCGTCATGAAACCCGCATTCATCACGCCACTTTCAACATTATTATAAAGAATAGATATCCATATATTTTCTATTGTAACCCACGCTCAATTTTCGCGCAATTCTATTGGCTACTTTACGTCACGTGGAGGAAAATTACTGGGCAGTTATCACGTAATAACCTCCGCCTGCGTCGATAATTGCCCTGCGACTGTTTCTGTCGAAAAGAAACAGCTAAAAGAAAATAAATCCAGCTCTAGACTTTCACGTTTTCTTAATTATTTTTCATGGAAGAAAAACAAACTCTTTTTCAGTTGTGGAATCCGCTGATAATGATATCAAAAAAAAAAACATGCAAAAAATTAATGGGAGGGTTATAAAATAAATAGACCCCTTTCTAAGAGATTGGCTAAGAGATTGTCCTCAAAATTTCAAATTTGCCCTCGAAGCTTCGCTTCTCGGTCAAATATTCATTTTTCGGACAATCTCTCAGCCGCGGACATTATCAGCCGACATGCCAGTCGCCTGAAGGGGTTTATTCACTAAATATTTAGACCAAAGTTGTATAATTCAATACACTTGTGGATAAAATTCTATTCAATGGTGTCGAAGGCTTTACGAAAATCAATAAAAAGTAGGATGCCTGGGATATTTTTAGCCTCTGCATATTCCATAATATCATTTAAAAGCCGAACATTTTGGCTAATGAATCTACCCTCAATGAAGCCTGTTTGATCAGAGTGTATAATCGAAGACAGTATTGACTCAATTCTTTGGCCAATTGCTTTTGCCAAAATTTTTTAATCGACGTTTAAGAGGGTTAATGGTCGCCAATTGGACAGCTCAATAAGGCAGGAGTCGTCTTTTGGTATCAAACAAATAACGCCATGCCGTTGAGATATTAACAATTGTCCTCTGGTAAAAGCTTCATTGTATGAATTAAGGAGATGTGTGCCAATTAGGTCAAAGAATGTTTCATAAAATCCTTTGGAAAAGCCATCTCCCCAGGGGATTTGTTGTTCTGAAACGATGTTAAAACATTTTTTATCTCATCAAGTGTCAGGTCAGATTCAAGAAACACTGATTCCTCAGAAGACAATTTGGGGATGTCTAGGTTCTCAATAAAGGCGAAAAAGTTCTCTCTGAAATTCCAGGAAAGAAAGCCGGATGATTTTGGTTAAATCGCTGTAAAATAATTGTATTTGTTGGTTGATTTGTTTCATGTCTGAAATAATCTCGCCATTCTCAAGTTAGTTTAACTGTGCAATAACCTTTTTCTCAAAGCTTCGCTTTTCTAAATTGAAAAAAATAATTCATGGGTAGGTTTCTCTCACCTTTTTCAATCCAGTTGGCTTTTGAGCGGAACGTGGCTTCTTGGCCTTTTTTTGTAAATTGAGTCTTTGAATACATTGCTATTAATAATAATGGGGTATATCTTGTCCATTTTCATCAAAACTAAAAAAAAATGAACGTTAGCCCATACGTATGTTTTCTTTGACGTGCTACCCCGCATTCGTAGAGATATTTGTCAACGTTAGGGTTCTCAATTTTAATGAGTTTAAGATGTCTTATCTATCAGACTCTCATTCCGTATAGTTCGTCTAGTGCCAGATGCGACCGGGGGAGTTAACCGTTTGTCATATCTCAAAAAAAAAAAGAAAAACATACATAATCATCAAGTCAGACTTCTCCGTTGGAGTCATTTACGTACCGGAAACGGAAAAATTTTGGCATAACCGTGCTATGTTTGATATTTATCAATTGATAATTTTCTGTTGGACTCCTTCCAGCACAAGAATAGTTTAACCTGTGGGGAGTTCAAACCATAGCTTAACTAACACTGTCGCGTTTGTAGAAAGTAGGTGATGTGGCGTCATGTATAAAGATAATGTTTGGTCCTATCGATAATAAATTATGACGAATCTATCACCTCAGAAATCGCCCATTTCCGCTCTTTAACACATTAAGGATGCAAGAGCTTCAGCACACGTTTAACAATTTTAGCTATTGTCGTATATCGAAAGCAATGACTCAGTTGACCCCAAAAACGAATTTTGAGCAAGCTGAAACGATTACCATGATTATCCTGTCTTGACTCTTCGAATGAATCAGTTCATAGAAATCTTTTCAAGGGCAAATAAGAACTTTAATTGGTAAAACTGTCTCGGCGAGTTTGAGATTCGAAAGCGTGTCAAATACCTTGAGAGTGAGATGTAATAAAAGCACCGAAATGTTTGTCTACTGTTCTCTCTATAGCTATAAAAAGGCAAATGCAGACGAGAAATGAAGTTCCAATCCCTAACTTTGTAAGCCGAGATTCGAGAAACCCGACGATGGAGGATCGATCTTGGAAGGATCGCGGGAAAGGATCTCAGTGACCTCAAAACGTTTGGCATTTTAAGTTCTTCAAACAGATGAAATTCAGTCAAATCAATAGGTTCTTCTAAAGAGCTCGTAGTCTAGACATTTGACAGTCGTTTATCATTTAAAAGCGAAACTTAGCAATTACTGATTATATTTTTTGACTGAGTAAATCTTGGTCCAAAATGGGCTGAGACATTCAGTCGAAAAATAATCAGGGATACCGATCTGACAATGTTTTTTCAACTGTTTCAAAGATTCCAATCAACGTTCAAGAAGAACCGAATCAACGTTCAACAAGAACCGAACCGGGATGAGTGTAATAAGTCAAGAATACTCACTTTTTTAACCCAAGAATCACTTCAGCTCCTTAACCTGTCTTCCAGATGACACCACAGACTGGTGACACTGTATTAGGTATTTGCATTTAATCACTTTGTTTTCGAACAACAGCGGGGTAACAGGAATCTTTACATTCTCGACCAATCTCGAAACAATACAAAAGCCAATAGAGACTCGGGGTTTGAAATTCAAAGCGAGTAAGGTGACACTTTTCGCTATTCATCAGCAAAGGATAAGTGGCCTGTGGTCCATCGATAGTTAAAGTTCTGATGTTACAACGCACTAAGATTATTTATGAACTTTGTACTGTTTTGAAGCGTGAATACAGTGGAATCCCAATTTCTCCAACCCCGAAGGCAAACGAAAATTGGTTGGAAAATCGGGACGTTCGTTAAATTCGGGGATAGAATGGGGTGGAGGAAACGACTTTTGGTTTAAGTTATGGAAAGTTCCAAAAATCGAGGGTTCGAGAAAGCGTGATTCCATTCCAGCTTGGGGGAGCCTCCGTGTTGAAAAGAACGTAATTAGAGAGTATAAAAATTAGTATCTTGAAATCTGATTTGTTTTGGCCACAAAAATGACCTGAGGGTTTTTATCTACGTGCACATGCACACATTTGTTTCATGTAATATAAACAGGGAGTTTAGGCTTACCACTCCACTGTTTCACTTTTGGGTTTGATTTCTTTAACATGCCAGGAGGAAATAAAGAAACAATGAGGGGCACGTGGGTTTCGACGACAAAAAATCATCTGAAAGGCTATCTTTCTCAATCAAGCTGGAATGGGCATGTGCTAAAACCCAGACGCTGGACGATAGACGATAGACGATAGACGATGGACGATGGACGATGGGCGATGGACGATGGACGATGGACGATGGACGATGGACGATATCTCTGACATTCAT